AGAACGACCAACGAACCCTCCCCGCCGCCAATTTTCCCTCCGACTCTGTTCGTCCGTCTCTGTTGCTCCTGTCGAATTTTCTGTACCCTTCTGTTCGAAACGACACTCGTACAAAACTGACCCCGGACACCATTGATATTGAGAGCTTGCTTTTGTGGTGCTCGTCACATCATCGATACCTTTCCGCGATTGGTTCGTTCCCACCACGTTTACACAAGATTGCTCCTACGTGAGTCGTAATTTTTATGAAAAAACATTACGACGAAAAGTCGTAAAGTGAAACGAGCACTATCATTGAAATCATAACGATTTATATGAAGAATATCTCGATACGTATTAAGATGGTTTACTCTAATGTAAGTTTCTGTTTAAATAGAACCACAATTGTACAAATCTATTTATCTTAACTGAATCAAATATCAGTCAATATTCTAATGACTCAAATTGTAATGATTTATAAGTTGATATAATAGTATATATATTGCATTAATTATATATATATTAATTATATTGATAATGGATATTCATAATTTGATACAATTGAATATATACTCTAATGATTTATACGTAGAATATTACAGTTGAATATATATTCTATTTATAGTGATTTATACTTAGAATATTACAGATCAGTTGACTTTGCCTCTCTATATCTTCCTTTTCCTTGCGTTTAGCTTTAATTACAAAATACTCTTCTACAACTACTTCGCCAACGTTCCTCTTTGAAAATTCAATCAAACGTTTCGATATCGATCGTGACGCGATCCGTGTGATCGTAAACGATCGATATATCAACGAAGTCAACGCGCCCTAGGAGCCGTGCATCCCGTCGAGCAAGAGGACACTCGCCGATGGCCACCTGAAGGCGCAAACGGTGGAGGCATCGACGTCTATTAGAGGGCTAAACGGTTCTTAAACGGGAAGAGGAATGAATCGAATGTCAGAGACGCAACAATGACGTGGGCAAACATTCCGACGTACAGGACCACCCGGTGGCAAGTTGCACGCCACAGTGGCTGTGAATCGGTCGCGATGAAGAAGATCGAATAGTTTTCCCGACTACGAGGCAATCGCAGAGATAAAAAAAAATTTACGACTGGTGACACTTTGAGGAATGCACTTTCGGCAAAAAGTGGAAGAACTCAGAAGACTTCTTAATGTAATAAAAAATATTGTATTTGGTTAATTACGAGGCAATCGCAGAAACGAGAAAATTTGGGACTGGTGACACTTTGAGAAATGCGTTTGGCAAGGAGTGGAAGAACTCAGAAGACTTCTTAATATAATGGAAAACATTGTATTTAGTTAATCACAGCTGTCTAGTTATTATAATTGAATTGAGTCATGTTCTTTCTGTTATTGTACAATGAATTTCTAAAGATACCGCAGGGGTGGAAAAATATTGAAAATATTTCACTAGTAACTTCGAGAGCAAGAGAACAAGGGATAATACTGATTGTTTTGTTAAACGTTTTCTTTTGAAAAGTTTAATGGCAAAAGAATGTTTTACAAGAAAAATTAGATAATAATAATAAGAGATAACAAATATCTTCATAAAATGAAAAGTCTAACAAAAAGAGTACTTATTCCTTTTGAAGATATTTTTAAGAAAAGTCACTTACCCATAAAAATGTTCTTATATCCAAAATATTCTTCTAGTACGTGAAGTATTTACACTTAGTAATAGCACTTATTGACTACATTATACGTATGTTTTACATTCCTTTGTAAAAATAACATTAATACATATAGATATTTATGAATTTTACTTTAAAGAACTTAAAAAACAACATTAACCGTTGAACAAATTATAGCGTAATTATCAGATCAGCTGGAGTCCCACGGTCAAATGAAAATTTGCAAGAAAATGAGCTTTATTGCTACAATTAATTTTCAAAGAGAAACTGAGCATTTGAAATGTCAGCAAGTGTTGCACCACTCGCGAATCGTTGAAACGGAATCAATGATCTTCGCAATGGGTGTGCTTCCTGTTCCCATAGCCTTCTCTCGATAATCGTACCACGTCCATGGGGTGTCGAGTGAAGAATACAAACTTTTCAATAGTGTTTCGAATGTTGTTGAGTAATAGCATCCATTAGAAAACGAGGCCGAAAACGTTTCTACGTTCCAAGCTGTGTTATTTCCTCATATGAAAAGTAGTATCTCATCCATATATTTTGGACAAAACAAAATATCCTATTTTAATAAAAAAAAAGTCATCCTATCATCAAAAATAAAGCATAGATTAAATATTGTATCCTTCTCTCACATCCTTATTAACTGGATAATAATTAAGTTATTAACTTCTTATTAATTAATTTTTATTTGTAGGTTACAATCGTGGTTATCAATTGTACTATAAATATCAGTCGCATACAATGATATTTAAAAATAGGAAATGGCGATTAGAGTCATCAAAACTAAAAAAAGGAAACCTCAAATTTCAGACACGCGTACGACGAATTTACTTTGCTTTCGAGGACAAATGCTCGCCTTCCCAAATCTTGATGTTACAATCGAAAGAGCTATCGTAATCCAAGATTAAGGAAACCGAAGATTCCCCTAATCCGAGTCATGTTTGAGCGACCATTCAAACGCACAAAATCAATCTCATCCTTTTCCCTTACGTATCAGATCAACCGATTAGAGAAAGTACTATAGGACGATGTAATATATAAGTAAAAGTGAACATAGATGGTGAGAAAATCATTGATTACATAAATCCACATGTCCAAAAATGAAGAAACTCGGTCGTGTGTAATACTTACGTGGGATAGATTTACGAAGGATAACGAGAGCAGAAGATGAAAGAAACACGGGATGAATTGCACCCTAGAAGAGAAGTCAGAAGATTCATGTATCAACGGACCGGCAGGAGGGTGTTGACGAGCTCGAATAAACGTCTCAGTAGGGTTGCTGCTACTCGGCACGCTACCGAAAATTCCTCGTG